GTCCTGCTCCTCCTCGTCCTCCTCATCCTCGGCATCATCATCATCATCATCATCATCATCATCATCATCATCACCAGCATCATCGTCGTCATCATCAGAATCATCAGCAGCATCGTCGTCACCCCGTCGTCGTCGTCATCATCGGCATCATCGTCATCATCATCAGTATCAACATCATCAACATCATCATCATCGTCAGCATCATCGGCATCATCATAACCATCATCATCATCTTCATCATCATTATCAGCATCATCATCATCATCATCATCATCGCCAGCGTCATCGTCATCATCATCGTCGTCGCCACCATCGTCATCATCATCATCATCATCATCATCATCAGCATCGCCATCATCATCACCATCACCGTCCTTGACATCGTCATCGTCCGCATCATCGTGGACGTCATGAACATCAGCATCATCATCGTCATCATCAACAGCACCAGCAACGTCAGCATCAGCAGCATCATCGTCATCATCACCAGCATCTGCATCATCATCCTCGTCGTCGTCGCCATCGTTGTCATCATCGTCATCGTCATCATCATCATCATCGTCATCATCATCAGCATCATCATCATAATCACCGTTATCGCCATCGTCATTGTCCATCACCATTATCGCCACCGGCATCGTCATTGTGAACAGCAGTATAACCATCGTCATCACTAGCATCATGATGAAGCCTTCCTCATCGCAGAACTCCCCCTCCTCCTCACCCTCCTCAGTGGGAGGAGTAGGACGTGAGATGGATAGGTAATGTTCTCCCCTCCTCCTCACCCATGTCAGTGGGAGGGGCACGAAACCATTTAAATAGTATGGGTTTCCGATACCGTCCTCGCTCAGACGGGGCCTCCCTGGAGAGGTGGTAGGGGCACGAAACCATGTAAATAGCATGGGTTTCCGATACCCTCCTCGCTCAGGCGGGGCCTCCCTGGAGGGGTGGGACGGGCACGAAACCATGTAAATAGCATGGGTTTCCGATACCCTCCTCGCTCAGGCGGGGCGTCCTTGGAGAGGTGGGAAGGGCACGAAACCTATAAATAGTATGGGTTTCCGATACCCTCCTCGCTCAGGCGGATGGAGAGGGCACGAAACCATGTAAATAGTACGGGTTTCCGATACCCTTCTCGCTCAGGCGGGGCCTGCCTGGAGGGGTGGGAGGAGCACGAAACCATGTAATCTTTTATGAATTTCCGATACCCTCCTCGCTCAGGCAGGGCCTCCATGGAGAGGTGGGAAGGGCACGAAACCATGTAAATAGTACGGGTTCCCGATTCCCTCCTCGCTCAGGCAGGGCCTCCCTGGAGGGGAGGGAGGGGCACGAAACCATGTAAATAGTATGGGTTTCCGATACTGTCCTCGCTCAGTCAGGCGGGGCCTCCCTGCTGGAGGGGTGGGATACCCTCCTCGCTCAGGCGGGGCCTCCCTGGAGAGGTGGGAAGGGCACGAAACCATGTAAATAGTATGGGTTTCCGTTACCATCCTCGCTCAGGCGGGGCTTTTTTTTTTTTTTTATTATTTTTTTTATTGTTTTGTTTTGTATTTTCGGTTTTTTTCTTATCATTTTGTCTTTCTTTTTGTTTTATATTCTTTTTTTTTTTTGTTTTCTTTTCTTTTGTTTTTTTTTTTTTCTTTTTTTGTGTTCTCTTACTTTTTTTTTTTTCTTTTTTTTCCATTTCTTTTTTTATTTTTATTTTTTTCTCTTGTCGCTGGAGGGCGGGAGTGGCACTGCTGGAGGAGGGAGGCGGGAGGGAGAAGCGAGGACGTTCTGGGAAACCAGAACCAGCACCAGCACGGACACCGGCCACCGGCACCAGCACCGGCACCGGCACCGGCCCCGGCACTGGCACCAGCACCGGCTACCGGCCACTGGCACCGGCCACCAGCACCGGCACCGGCACCGGCACCGGCACTGGCACCGGCACCAGCACCGGCACCGGCACCTGCACCGGCACCGGCACCTGCACCGGCACCGGCACCAGCACCGGCACCAGCACCGGCACCGGCACCGGCACCGGCACCGGCACCGGCACCGGCACCGGCACCGGCGCCGGCACCGGCACCGGCACCGGCACCGGCACCGGCACCGGCCACCGGCACCGGCACCGGCACCGGCACCGGCACCGGCACCGGCACCGGCACCGGCACCGGCACCGGCACCGGCACCGGCACCGGCACCGGCACCGGCACCGGCACCGGCACCGGCACGGGCACCGGCACCGGCACCGGCACGGGGCAAGAATCGTTCAGCCTTGGGCCGGTTTTGTGAGGATGTCTCAAGCGAGGGCGCCGGTGTGGGATTCGTCGGCGGATCCACCAGATCCACCGGATCTGTCCGGAAACGTTGCCGGAGGCCGCTCTGGGCTCCTCTGGGCACCTCCCCCGGGGCCGGTTTTGTGAGGATGTCTCAAGCGAGGGCGCCGGTTTGGGATTCGTCACCGGATCCACCGGATCTGTCCGGAAACGGTGCCGGAGGCCGCTCTGGGCTCCTC